CCCCGCTAAACCACCCCCCCCTCACCACATCCCCCCAACTGCCCAACTCAGGCCGGGGAGCCATCCGGCCTGCAGCTTCCCCCCCCCCATTCCTGGAGAGGAATCAGCCATCTGCGCCCCCGGTCTGTGGATCACTTTGAACTTAAATGGCTGGAGAGCCAGATACCAACGAGTGATCTGCGCATTGGTATCCTTCATGCGGTGGAGCCACTGCAGGGGTGCGTGGTCCGAACAGAGAGTGAACTCCCGGCCCAGGAGACATGAAGAAATAAACTCATCTACATCTTGGATGGCCTTTCAGCAAATCTACTACTAATAAGAGTCTTGCTTTCATCTTATATCTTACCATATTAATGCGGTATTCACATCATGTTGGAATTGTAATCTGTAATATGTCATTTTATCATAGCCCATGTGCTCTTTCCTTGTTCAAGATTTTACAGAAGAATCCACACACCTGTGTGACAGTTTGTGACTAATTTACATTTTGGCGAACTGTATGAATTTTTGCATTTTCATACAATCTGTTTATGCCCCAGTGAGTATTTGGTTTAGGGGTTGACCTTCATGTTTAGTTTTTTTTTTGTTGTTGTATGAATTTACCACAAATTCACTGAAATATAAAATAGTTACATTTTCTCATAAGATTGGGTTGGAAGAATACTGAAAAGTAGTTTGCAGTGACAAAGCTGCACAAGGATCTCATTATTGTTATTAGCGCTGACTTAAAAATTTGTAATTTCAAAATACAATTACATGAATAGCACAATGTAGAATCCCTAAGGTCGTAATTGCACAATTACAGTAATTACTGTAATTTCGACATGACATAAATGCTGCATTAAAACAATTCTGCAGAATTACGTACATTTCCCTAAACATTTGTTACAGAAATAGTGTGGCTGTAGTTATGCATTAATTTTCGATATTAGAAAGTTAAAACAGCCTAATCTATTGCAAATGAGTGTTGAATCTTTGAATTTCTGTGGTTAATGTCTGGTATTTGTGTTCATATATTTTCTTATTTTTCCTGGAAGATGTAAATAACAAGAAAGCACACATGGTCTACTGCTATAATGATTTCTTTGACAAGCATCATCAATATAGATGAAGGCTTGAAGCAGAAATAATGCAGAATGTAGCAAGAACATTGTGCCGTTGTGCCTGTCAAATGTAAAAACATTTGTATGCAAGTGCTTGATATTATTCCATGCATGTGTTCGCAGGATTGGATTGACCTGGTCATCGCGGTCTCTCCACCAAAGGAATATGAAGACGAAGTGTATGTATATTTGCATTTTTCTTCATAATATATGATATGTGATCACACACAATGGCAGCTCCAGTGTCCTCCAAATTCAATTCGCTTCAATGCATTATGTGGTCTGTCTCCATTATTCCCAATGAAAAAATCAATCATTAGTGTACATGGCTCTCAGTGGTGAACCTGTCATTGCTGTTTGTCTTCAGCCCTAACGCAGCATCAGTCAGACCCACTGCAAAGAAAAAGGTTTTCCAAGGCAGTGCCCCTGTGTACAGACAGGGCTACGTCCTTCAGATGAGGACCCCCCATCCCCCAACATGATCGCCACTAACCCAGTGGTAAAAGCCCCCCCCCCCAAAAAAAACACATCCATACCATTCTGCAGTGTTTATCATGTACATGTGACAATCTCTTTGTCAATCTGGAAACCCACCCAAATGTTGTCAATTGGGGATTTCTTGTGCTAATGATTCAATAATGCAATATACAATACTATTGTTCACAAGGTTACGCAGTCGTTCTGATTGATGTTGTTCAAAGGGACTGTTACATGTCATGACTTGTGCATTGATTATTGCTGCTTTGAGCTACTGCATGTTTCTATAAATGTCTATAGCACTACTGTGCTGTATAGATACTGTCATTGGTTCCCCAGAACCAAACTTTGAAACTAAAACAATTGCAAACATATTGACAGGTGAATACAGATGCTCATGGAAACAATAGTTGTGTTTGAAAGCACTTATTGCTGTGCCACCAATAATGCTGTGGTGGTTGCAGCAAATAGTAAAAAATTCTGTCATCATTTACTCACTCTCATGTTGCTCAAAACCCAAAAGACTTCCATTCATCTTTTTTAAATAACATCTGAGAGATTTCTGTCCCCCCACTGAAAGTCCATTCCACCAAAACTTTACGGCTTCAAAAGTACATAAGTACATTAAAAAATAATCCATATGAATCAAGCTGTTTAATCCAAGTCTTCTGAAGAGACAGATTCATTTAAAATGTATTTGTGTGTGTTTTGAAGTTGAATGAAAGTCTTGGTTTGGAATGACATTAGGGTGAGTAAATTAGGGTGACAGAATTTTCATTTTTGGCTGAACTGTCCCTTCAAGCATTTTTTACATTCTGTGAACCAATGGAGTGACATTCTTCTGTCACATTTATATATTTCTGGCTGGTTTCATACAAAGCAATCTGCTAATTTAAGTCTGTTTCCTTACTATGTGTGCAACCTTGTTTTCTTCACCCCTCGTGTGGATGTGCGAAACCAGCCCTCTCTTAAATATCTGTCAGACTAATCTGATTTTTACATTTGTCACTCTTTTTACAGGACATTCTTTTAAAACCCAACATTGCATCAGAGCAACGGACCACAGGGAGAATCAATAGCCATTCCTTAGTAGTAATTTTGCAAAAAGCAAATAATTTAGTATCTGTGTTGTAAATGAAATGCAGTTATTCACATCATTTATAAATCAGGCATCTGTGTTTTAGAAATACATAATACTCTCTTTTAGGCTATATTGTTATCATTTGCAAAACAATAAACATGCATTAATAAAAAAGGTGTTATTGCTTTATGTTTGTAAGCCTTCTAATATGGTTTATCATTTAAGTTCTTCATTTCAAGCCATAAAAAGGAGATATCCTCAGCTGCTGTCCTGATTGGCTCATTTTCACTTGCAGTATCTCCAACATCTGCCAAATGATTAATGGGCACTTAGTAACTGTCTTGTAGGATTGCTATCAATCAAGGGCAGTAATAAGATGCTTTCAATTCAGTCTCAACCACTTGTTACAAAAATATGCATATGCAAAATATGCAAACTGAACCAATGTATAGTTTCTCAGTTCTGGTCATTCACGCTAACAGCACTGTGCAGTGACAAACAACCTGCACTCATTCATTTTCAGTGAGTGATTTCTGGCAACACAACCACTTGAGATGCTATTTAGCCGTGTCCCAATAATCACACAAAATGTGCATTCACGTTGTACCATTTGAACCATTCCAATCAAGTTTCACTGCTAATCATAGCCTGCGTTGCTGAAAGTGTCCAGTGATATTTTACTTGTGGTTGATTCTGGTAAAAATGCTGCATTGGTGTTAAAAAAATTGTACTGGTGCCTTTGATAGCCTACTGTTGATTATAATATTCTTCTGTGGTGTTTAGAACATTTGATCGGTATCAAGAGTTACGAATCCTTACAATGGTTTAGTTCATATTTAGTATCATATTTTTTTAGTTCATAAGGTCCTTTTCTGTAGCATTAGCTAAGTTCCTCTCATACTCACTGCCTATTTTAAATGGAGTACCTCAGGGCTCTATTTTGGGTCTGCTTCTTTTTAACTTATATATGTTACCACTTGGAAATATTATTAGGAGGCACAATGTTTCTTTTCATTTTTATGATGATGGTACTCAGCTTTATTTGCTGTTAAAAGCTAGCAACTCCATTCAACCTTTGCCGGACTGTCTCAAGGACTTTAAGAAATGGTTGTCAAATAACTTTCTTCAACTTGATGAAGACAGAACTGAAATTATTATCTTCAGTCCCCCAAAATTGAGAAATGATCTTATTAGGGAGTTTCATAATCATTTTCCTGTGATTTCTTCACAGGTAAGAAACCTGGTGTAATCCTAGATTTAAAAATAGTTTTTATCAATTACAAATTATTTCCAAGCTTAAAACATTTTTGTATTTTCAAGATTTGGAGAAGGTTATTCATGCTTTTATTACATCATGTTTAGACGATTAAAAGTATCTGGCACAAAACGTACTTGAGTAAAAGTAAAAAACAAAACAAAAAAAAAAGTACAACTTACTTTTTAGTTACGTATTAAAAAAGTAAAAGTAACCTAGTGTAGTGCTTCTACTAAATCCCGCTTAAAATATCAGACTTGCATCTGAAATCTATACAGTAGGCCAGAGGTTTTCAAACACTGGGTCGGACTTGATGCCAGGATGATTTAGGGAAAATATTCTAAAATTAATTAATGCAATTTTAATAATAATAAAACAACAATAATAATTTTGAATAGAATCACATTAAAATACACATTAAAACATTAAAATAAATACTAGACCTCTGTCACCTGACCCACATAAATGCAGTCAGTCGGCTCTTATGCTTTTTAACAAAACATGGAGTGTCACTGATGCAGCCATTTTCTTTTCCCAACTGCGATGATGCAAAGGCTTCAGTAGAGTTGTATAAGTAGCCCGTCTTTAATTTATTTTATGCTAAACATGAGCAGGCCAAAGTCAAAAAGTACAATTTATCAAGCGCTACGCTACTAGTTTATGTTTGGTACATTTGGCAAGGTGAATTTTTGGAAGATCTTATGTGCTGCCTAACATTGCCTTCCAGCACATCAGGAGCACATATTTTTTTTGAAGAATTAAATGCTTTAATGACTAAATGTGGTCTTCAATATGCCAATTGCAAAGGCATCACCAGCTATGGGGCAGCCAACATCACTGGCAAAAATAGAGTTGTCAGAAGGATTAAGGATGCAGCAGGACAAAACATTGTTTGGAATCATTGTTTTATTCATGGTGAAGCTCTGGCATCATAAGGAATCCCAGCCGAGCTTGAAATGGTGATGAGAGACATTGTTAAAGTTGTGAACTACATTAAAGGTAGTGCTCTTAACAGCCAACTTTTCGAGGCCCTGTGTACTGAAATAGGAGCTGAGCACACACATGAAATCTTTCATACAGAGGTGAGATGGCTGTCGAAGGGCAGGGTGGTTCGCCGAGTGTACGAACTGATGGATGAAATACATGCTTTTCTAACTGAGAAACCGTCACCTCTCGCAAGCTCATTCAGTGATGAGAAATGGCTTTTAACCCTGTCTTAGCTTGCTGACATATTTTCTGTTCTAAACTAACTGAATCTGAAGCTACAAGGAAGGGAGGACAATATTTTCAGACATTCTGAACAAATTCAGGCTTTCCAGAAATCACTCGAACTCTGGCAGCTGAGACTCAAAACCTCAAGCTACTAAATGTTCCCGACAAAGATGAAACAAAGAAAATGTGTCCAAGAAAACGGTTGTTGACTTGACGCCCCTCATGCAGTCACATCTAGATGCACTAATGGGGAATTTCTCTTGCTACTTTCCTCAGGAGAAGTTCAATGAATTAAAAGACAAGCGGTAGGACAATCTCGAATTAGTTTTTTTAAATTTTTTTTTTTTTTTTTTTTAACGGTTCATTCAATCCATAACTGGAAAAACAATGAGGGCATAGTCCGGGAGATCTGGGTGATGTGAAATGTCTAGAAAGTCCTGGATGTGGTCCTCGAGGGAACGCATTCCCTGACGGAGGCGAACTAACCTGATTGCTGAGTCCATAATTGGCCTGGATCACTGAATAAAGCCGCTAGGTACGGGTGTGTTGAAGTCTTCTGTTACGGACAAGCGTTACAATGTGTCACGGAATGCCAGGAGAGACAAGGTAAGATCCAGGTGCAGTTTATTGAAAGTAACAAATAATCAAAACGGAACAAAAACATGGCAAAAGGTAATCCAAAAACACAAGGAACAGAATAACACAGTGAACTCCAGATAACATCAAGGTCAGACATGGGAAGACAAATACAATATAGCAGCAATGACAGACAGAGTGAGCATGGTATATATATAGATCGGATAATGAGTAAATGACTAACAGGTGAATATGATCGGAACTGATAAACAGGTGCTCATGATCAGACAGAATGACAAGTAAGGGACTATGGGAAATGGAGTTAAACACATAACAAGAAACTGGAGAGCGCCCTCAAGTGGCCAGTCCAGGGCACCACAACCAGACACTGTGACATTACCCCCCCTCTACGGAGCGGATAAAAGACGCTCCACCAGAAAACATAAAAGTTCAGGAGGGAGGTGGAACTGAGGCGGAGCAGGGGGAGGGATGGCAGGCCAGGACCATGCATAGGAAGGGGATCAGGGAACAGAGGTAGACCAGGGTGTAAGAGCGGAACCGGCAGGGTGGAAGGCCAAGGCGGGGCCGGCAGGACGAACCAGCAGGGCCCCAACCATACAGGAACCCCAGCAGATAGCCAGGACGGAGCTGGAGGAATGAGCCAGTGAGGCTCCTGCCAAACCAGAACCCAGGCGGGCAACCAGAGCGGAACCGGAATCCTGTCAGGCAACACTGGTGGGACAGCAATCCCTCTCAACAACTCAGGAGAAACTGAAAACAAGAGCAGAGAGAGTTTATTAACAGCCTCAACGGCTGCAACCGGACAAGCCGATTGCTCCGCAATAGTCCCCGTTAGCTCCCGGACTGGAGCGGAGTCTGTGAGCTCCCGGACTGGAGCGGACTCTGGAGTGGGCTCTGTGAGCTCCCGGACTGGAGCGGGATCTGGACTCATCATTCGCTCCTTCCCTGTGGCAGGAGGGACGATCCGAGTGTCCATGGTTCAAAAAAAAAGGGAAAAAGAAAAACAAACTTCTGGATCTTGTAGTGGCTGCTATATTCTGTCACGGAATGCCAGGAGAGACAAGGTAAGATCCAGGTGCAGTTTATTGAAAGTAACAAATAATCAAAACGGAACAAAAACGTGTCAAAAGGTAATCCAAAAACACAAGGAACAGAATAACATGGTGAACTCCAGATGACATCAAGGTCAGACATGGGAAGACAAATACAATATAGCAGCAATGACAGACAGAGTGAGCATGGTATATATAGATGGGATAATGAGTAAATGACTAACAGGTGAATATGATCGGAACTGATAAACAGGTGCTCATGATCAGACAGAATGACAAGTAAGGGACTATGGGAAATGGAGTTAAACACATAACAAGAAACTGGAGAGCGCCCTCAAGTGGCCAGTCCAGGGCACCACAACCAGACACTGTGACACAATGGAGTTGAGGATCCAAATGCAGGCTTTATTAAAATAGAGCATAGTCAAAACAGGCAGGGTCAAACACCAGCAAATATAACAACCTGTACGTCAATGTGACCATTAACTGACATCAAACTGTCTGTAAACATGCAGATGTGTTGTTAAATTATTAAAATATTAACTTTCTCAGACAAATTTCAAGTAAATTTGTCTAAGGGGCTTGGCTGACAAAAACGTTTGGGAATCGCTGCATTACATGAACAAACATTAATATACAAACATTAATTTTACACACCCAAAGTCTTCATTTTAGCTCTGAGCATTTTAGTTCAGACTTCCAGAATCAACAGTCTAATCCAGGGGTGTCCAAACTCGGTCCTGGAGGGCCGGTGTCCTGAAGAGTTTAGCTCCAACCCCAATTAAACACACCTGAACCAGCTAATCAAGCTCTTACTAGGCATACTAGAAACTTAAAGGCAGGTGTGTTGAGGCAAGTTGGAGCTAAACTCAGGACACCAGCCCTCCAGGAACGAGTGTGGGCACCCTTGGTCTACGTGTATGATTGGCACAGACTTTTTTTCTTGCTTTTTTAGCAGACTGAATCTTTCCAGTCAGAGGACATCCAATATTATTGATATTTAAAGCCGATTTTAGAACACATACTCTTTTGTGAATTGTGAAGCATTTTTTATTGTGTGAAATTTAATTGTTTAGTGCATGATGTCCACTTTTAACCATTTAGTTGGCAAGTGTATGATGCCAAATGTTTTAAATCTGTTCAGTTTTTAACATTCGTGTTTATTCTTGTGTGACGTGACATGTGGCCAAGTATGGTGACCCATACTCGGAATTAGTGCTCTGCATTTATTCCAGTGTGGTCCTGGGTACCCCTACACCATCCAAAGTGCACACACACAGCAGTGAAGACACACACACCGTGAACACACACCCGGAGCAGTGGGCAGCCATTTTTTTTGCTGCGGCGCCCGGGGAGCAGTTGGGGGTTCGGTGCCTTGCTCAAGGGCACCTCAGTCGTGGTATTGAAGGTGGGAGAGAGCGCTGTACATTCACTCCCCCCACCTACAATCCGTGCCGGTACAAGACTCGAACCCACAACCTTTGGGTTACGAGTCCGACTCTCTAACCATTAGGCCACGACTTCCCACCCATATTCCCCCCCCACCCCCCCTTTATTCCAACCTTTACAGTAGTTTCTCATGCTTTAGTTCATGTTCTTGATTTATTGTGTTATATTCTGAAATGCATTCGGATACTCAATACATGACAGTATGCAGTTTTGAAATCCAAAGCAATTTAATCACAGAGAGAACAGAGATGTGGGATAAGAGAAAAATAAATTCCAACAATTTAGCTCACTTAAAGAATTATTAAAACAGCATAAGATTTAACAAACATGTTATTCAGAGCAGTTAGCCTGAAACATTATAGGTGTGTAGGTTGTTTGTACTTTAACAACTTCTTAGGCTTGTACATTACTGAGCAATGGCAGCTGTCTCTTTGGGAGTGCAGGGATCAGGACTTATTTGGTTCAGCTCCACAATAACAGCATCACACCGTTTTTTTCCATTCTTCTGGTGGCAGTGAAGATGGGCTGATCTCCAGGAACTTAAACGCATCCTTAGTCTGCAAGCTGAAGATGCCCTTGGCATAGAGGCAGGATTCACCGAAGACCTTCCAATTCTGAAAGATATGAGGTGAAAATAAACCACACAGAAAATGAAATCAAGATGAAATTAACTACTGTAAACCTCTAACTGAACATTTACTCAGTGTCTAAGTTACCTGTTGTGCTGTAGTAATAGATTCCAGAAAGATCTCCTTCATTTCACCATCCTCGATGAAGTGATCATTAGCAAAAGTCTCGTCTTTGAGAGCCTCCAGCATTACACTCACTGATTCCCAAAACTTCTTAATTTGAATCAGAATTTGTTGGATTCGGGTGAGGCAGGTTTGGACATCGTTCAGATGGACAGGGTCAGGTATTGAACCTTTAGAAACAATATAAAGCAGACATTAATTTATATGTAATCCTGGGAATCCATCGAGCACAGATCTTTTAAGTGAAAGCATCTCACCCTTTCTTTATTTTCACGTGTGCCAAATCCAGCTGCTTGTCAGTCAACCTGACATGGATCTTCCACTCCTTGTTTTTCAGGTTTGACTTCTCATTGGAGAGATGAGACAACTCATTGGATAGAGCCTGGATTTTCGCAGCCAGATCGGCATCAGTTTTAGCAGCAAAAATCGCATTAACTAAAGGTCCAACAAATGGAACTAGAGAAGTGATGAAACCCAGGCGATTACGTTTTCTAGAAGCCTGTTTGATATCATTCTGCAGTTCTCGGTTTTTCTGTGCAGTCGTTTCATCAGTTCGTCTAATTTCTTCATTGTTTTTCTTCAGTTCCTCTTCTAGTTCACTCACCACCTTCTTCAGAGCCTCTATCTCGTTAGTAGTTTCATCTATTTCACCTTCTGTCTCAGCCTTTTCATTAATCACATCACTGGTGCATGAAGCCACACTGTGGTTGTGTTTGTCATATCTGATGATGACAGAATTCAGATGAATCATCAGCTTAAACACAGTAAATGTTCTTGATAATGCACTGAGCCATGGTGACGTTCTGTTTCATTTTATGTTGACATACATCCAGAGGAATTTTGGTAGTAGCCATATTAAAAGTATTCCAGATATATTCAACAAATCTCACTAACATTACTATTTTTAGAAATATTTCAAAAACATTTTCCATCATTTTACCTCTCTACCATCTGTTCCACTTTGTCAACAATTTCAGTGATCCATGCTCTTGCTTTTTTCAGGGACTTAATGGCCAAAATGCTTTTATCCTTTTCAACAGCAACCTTCAATGCAGGCAACAGCGTGGTAACCAGGTTTACTTGTGGCAGCACACTGAAAGGCAGCAAAAATGTTTGCAGTAATTATCCACAAGTTTCATACTTTAAAACAGGAGTGGCCAATGTCGGTCCTGGAGAGCCACAGTTCAGCAGAATTCAGCTCAAACCCTAATCAAACACGCCTGAAAAAGTTAATCAAGAACTCTCAGATCAACTTTGATCAACTCTCAGATTGACACTTACACCAACTCTGTCCTCAAGCACATCAACAGGTGTGTGGGCAAAGTGACCACACACAAAAAAATAAAAAAATTTCCCCAATCAGAAGCCCTGGATGAACAGAGAGGTTTGTCTCCCGCTCAAAGCAAGAGATGCAGCCGTCAGGTCTGGAGACCGGGAGGCTTATAGCTCAGCCAGAGCCAACCTGAGAAAGGGTATCTGCCAGGTCAAACTCACACACAAACAGAGCATTGAAGAGCACTTCAACTCCTCGGACCCCCAGCGTATGTGGCAAGGCATACAAACGATCACGGACTACAAACCACCCAGTACTGTGCCTCCCTCCCTGTCCCAATCACTTTTATGCTCGCTTTGATTGAAATAGCAAGGAGGTCTCCCTCAAAGCTGAGCTTCCACCCAATGAACTGCCCCCTCACACTCTCCACGTCAGATGTTTACTCCACTCTGAGTAAGGTAAATGCACAGAAGGCAGCTGGCCCTGATGGAATAACTGGGCATAAGCTTAAAGCCTGTGCGGAGCAGCTGGCCGAGGTCTTTACGGACATTTTCAATCTGTCCCTGGCCCAGGCAACTGTCCCCACTAGTTTCAAGACCTCCACCATTGTGCCAGTACCAAAGCAGTCCACTGCCTCTGCCCTTAAGGACTTCCATCCTGTCGCACTCACCCCCATCATTGCCAAGTGCTTTGAGAGACTGGTTGTATCCCACCTAAAATCCTGTCTCCCTGCTACATTGGACATACACCAGTTTGCCTATTGCCGCAATAGGTCAACAGAGGATGCCATCTCTATGGCACTTCACTCTGCCCTTACCCACCTGGACAGTTAAAATACACGTCAGAATGCTGTTCATTGACTTTCTGCTGTTCATTGAATTTCTGCATTTAACACTGTGATCCCCTCCAAGCTGATCTCCAAGCTCAGCCTGCTTGGAATCAGCACATCCCTCTGCAATGGGACTCTGGATTTCCTGACTAACAGAAGCCAGTCTGTTAAGTTAGATAACCTCTCCTCCTCCATCATCACCCTGAACACTGGTGTGCCACAGTGCTGCGTGCTGAGCCCTCTTCTGTACTCCCTATTCACCTATGACTGAGTTCCTGTTTATGGCTCCAACACCATAATCAAATTCACAGATGACACCATGGTGGTAGGTCTGATCAAAGATGACGATGAGTCGGCCTATAGGGATGAGATACAGCACCTGGCTGTGTGGTGAACTAAACACACAGAAGACCAAGGAGATAATTTTGTACTTCAGGCGGACTAGGAGTCATGCACACACCCCCATCTACATCAGTGGAGCTGCAGTGGAGCATGTGTCGAGTTTCAAGTTCTTTGGCATCCACATCTCTGATGACCTCACCTAGTCCCTAAACACCTCCAACCTGGTCAAAAAGGTGCAGCAGCACCTTTACTTCTTATAGAGCATTAAGAAAGTTCACCTGAGTCTCAGAATCCTTGTAAACGTCTACCGCTATACCATTAAGATCATACTCACAAACTGCATCTCAGTGTGGTACAGCAAGAGTTCTGAGCTCCACACCACCAATCTAATTTGCACCTGTTATTTTACTGCATTGGTCACAGTACTTTACAAACATGTATTTGCACTATTCATATTTTGCGAAGTCTGGACTCTGTTTAAGCTAGTACACTGTCACACTGCACAGTAAACTATTTCAATAGAAATGTTATTGCACTACCCATATTCAGTGTTGGGAGTAACGCGTTACAAAAGTAATGCATTACAGTAACGGATTACTTTTTGCTGTAACGCAGTAGTGCAAGGCATTACTAATCAATTTTCAGTAATATTTTACTCTGTACATGTTCAGTAATGCTTGCGTTACAACACACTTTTAGCCCAAAATTTAATTGTTCAAAAAAAACAGCAAGACCACGAGACATTAACGTATCAAAAATGGCGCAAATAAGTTCTATTTCCTGTTCGTGGTCAGTCAATAGCACCACGTATGGTGTCCAAGTTTGTAAATAAAGACTAAACGACAGCTTCTGATATATTTGTTTAGCGATTTATTTCATTCATCATCTCCCTCTCGCTGGTGGAACTTTGTATTGTGTGACATAGTCCAGTGAAGGCGTGTTTAGGGCAGGTTTTACAGGAGTGCCGCGAGGCTACTGGTCCAACAGTGGAAACGCGGCATTATTTCGGCCTCTGTGGCTGTGCTAGAGGTCCGAGGCTATTAGCCCCGCCCGGCTCACTGTAAGCCCCGGCTCGCACTGGCCAGTGAAAAACGGCTAATGGGTGAAGATGGCAGAAGACACTACATTCGCGAGATGGACGTATGCGCATCTTTTCATGGCATTAGAGTTTACATATAGTCCTGTTGTGTCTAATATGAATAGACCCAAGCTATTCACAGATATTGCCAGATAATCACTTTACCTCTACCATACTTTTAACAGACTTGGATCGTTTGTGATTCTGGCTGTCATCCTTTCTTGCATTGTCTTGAGCCTTCACTTTGCCAATTATAAGCTATATTGTTAGTAGCCTGGATAGCCCACAGTCATTATTACACCATATTGCCCTCTACTGGATGTAAAATGCTCTGCAATACATTTTGTCATTTTAGAATGTTAAGTTCTACTTCTGTAGTTATTTTGGTGAAAGTAACTCAAAAGTAATACAGGAGTCATGTAACGCATTACAATTCTGAGACAGTAATATTATAAATAATGTATTACAGTTTGGAAGTAACTTGCACAACACTGCTCATATTTTGCATAGACTATATATTGTTTAACAATACTATTGCACATACAACTTTCTGTATTTATTACCACTGTTCTTACATTGCTGATGTTCATACTGTACATATGACCCTTCATCTGCATTCCTTTTTATATTATGTACATACTCTGTTTAATATTGTATATTGCAACTCCACTGTACATACTGTAAGTTATAGCTTCTTACTCTGCACTTATCTGTATATAAAACACTATATTCTTGCACTTCTGGTTAGATGCTAACTGCATTTCAATAGCCGTGTACTTGTACTATGCATAATGACAATAAAGTTGAATCGAATCGAATCGAATCTAATCTAATCTAATCTAATCTAATCTTTACCTTCAGCAGAAGAACTTCAGAGGACCCAAAGAGAAGCTGGGTTTCAACAGCACGTTCTCTGAGTTCCCTCTCCAACTTGGGGAAATTAGCCAAGCAGAGGTAAGAGAGATGATAGAGCAAAGCTGTACGCTGAGCAGATGGAAGAAGCTCCGTAACAAAGTCAGGGCTACTTGCGATCACAAGCTCTGTAGAATTACAAATGTGATAGTTACTACATGATGGTTTTGTGCAGATTTGTGTCAGTTATTAACAATATTAAACATGTAATAGGCTTAGATTGTATCAGTAAAAAAACCTTTGCTTTGTGACATTTTTTGTCGGTGAAGGAATGTCCTCTAAGTGCCTGAAAAACACTGAAAAACAACAGCAAAACACAATAAGAAAATAATCTTTAAAAAAATGGATGGGAGAGGCCAGTAAGTTACCTGTAAACTGGATCTCTGTGCAATGTAATTGACTGTATCGGCGTGGGGAATTTATACTCTATGGCACCTCCTTAAAATTGTTTGTCATGAAGATACCTAAAACTGATTTTTGAATAACAACTTTCAAACTGAAGTTGTACTGTAACCTTTGGGGATCCCTAGGTGGTTGGCCTACAGGCTCAGACTTGTATTTTTATAATCCCTCTTCTGGTAACAGAACAGTTAATCTCTCTTTAAGGAAATGTAAAGTTTGATTTAAAATTTTGGAGGGTTGGTACAGTATGAATAACATCTGATGTTATTCATACTGTACCAACCCTCCAAAATGTTTAAATCACACTTTGCATTTCCTTAAAGGGAGATTAATTGTTCTGTATCTTTACTGTTATAATTTTATGCAATAAAATCCAAAGTTAAACATGTTTCAATGTAGGCTACTACTGTACTGTACCACCTCAATACTAAAAGCACTACCTATGAAGAGGAACATGTCAGAATTAATTTAAGAAACATTACATGAGAAATACCCAGATGGCTTACAATAATTTCTGCCCAGACCACTGGAGCAAATGGTGAAGAAGTGGCACAACTGATGCCAAAGGTCATGTGACAATGCCAACATGCTGGATGTAGTACAGGAGGGGTTGTGTTGGGTGATGATATTGTGGTTGTGAATGGAAAGAGCTTCACGGATGGGATTTTGGCTAAAATCTCTGATGGAGAATGAAATGTTTTCTTTATATGAGTGACAAAGAAAGTGTTGTTTTATTAGTTTTACTTAGTTTCTGTTTTTACTTTGATAGAACGTGCTTATGTCACAGTAAAGAAATTATGTAATGGCCTGCACATGTTAAAAAAGGGGTAAAAAGCAAGCTGAGATGTGCAGACTTAATGTTCAGACCAAACACCATACCTTTTGAATGCTATCTATATGCGTACCATGTGATCAGATTGTCTAGACTTAAAGGTGCCATTGAATGCATTGATACAATATTTTAAATTGTTCTCTGATATCTACATAGAAGGTATGTGGCTTAGGTAAGGGCAAAAAATCTCCAGAAACGGTTTTACATGTCCATTTACAACCCTAGGATTTGTCCCTAGAATGAAATTGTCTATTTTTACCTTATTTGGAAGGGTCATGAATAATAATGTTGAGCTCTGCTCTGATTGGCTGTTTCACAGTGCGGCTCATTTCAGTAGCTCACACAGCAGGAAGGAAACACAGGGAAAATATATATTTCAATACTGTCTCTCGCAGTTATATTGTTGGGTAATTATACTGTATATAAAATGCGGGCATCAGGGAGCCTAATATTAATATGCGGGGCATTGAAACTGCATTCGAATGCATGATCGCTTTTTATTTTCACTTTCAAGATTTGCGATCGCACTTGCTCTGTGTAAACTACAGCGGCAGTACTTACCACACATTTTACAAGATCAGATGCTTGTCAGTGGTGCTCAGGATCTGTAAATCATTTGCCTTTATCCTCAGTCATCTCTCCTTACTCTGTTTATGTGGTAAGTGAAATCTTATGTCCTGTGATGTAACAGGCTACTGCTAGAAAGCAGCTAACCATGTCCCTTTAGTGGCTCGCGTTATTTTATTAGAACGCGCGTTATTTGTTTTCTGTGCCTTTCTAAATACAGACACCAACCCATCCCTGCACAGCCTGGAACATAACATTTATTTCCATGATCTGCCATTTTCGCTATTATCCTCGGTTGTTTCTTCACAATACCTGCAGAACTTCTGATGATTCGGCTGAGCAGGTTCGGCTGGCGGCTGGCATAGAACATGGGCGGGTATATGCAAATGTTGGGGGCGTAACTATTAGTGATCCCGACTGTAATGTCACAGTCGGTGTTATGTTCTGATTCGCCTATTTTTCAGTGGTCTTTTGCATGCACGAGATTTACATGAAAAGGAGGAAACAATGGTGTTTGAGGCTCACGGTATGTAATTTCCATGTACAGAACTGTTATTATTCAACTATGCCAAGGTAAATTCAGTTTTCCATTCTATGGCACCTTTAAAAATGCTTAGCATAGTCAAACTAACACTCATATGATTAACTTACATAATTATAACCAATCACCAGATCAGTTAAACCAATCACAGTGAGTTTTGTATAAATATCTGTGTATTTTTCTGTATATTTTCTCATACTTTGGAAGGGGAAATACCTCAGGTTATTGAATTGTGTTATATTTGATTGGGGAATTATCCCAAGAGTGTAATGGAAAGTCAGATTAGCATAATATTAGATAGACAGACCTCAATAGCCCAACCCTGGACCAGTGGAGTGCCTCATTACAGGCCTTAACAACCCAGGGTGTTCGTTACAGGTGGAGCATGTCCTGGCCACTTTTACAAAGGCCATGTTTGCAAGCTTAAACATCACTTGCGCTTCTCGAGCTGCAATTGTACTTTTGACTTTGTTAAAAAAAAGTCAGGTTTGTAAAGAGCATGAGATTAAGTGTGAGTCATCACCAGGCCCATACAGAAACCACTTGCAGAAAATGATTGAATTATTACATTTCTAAACAAGGCCAAATCAGTTTTGGATTAACTATCCATTTAAGGACACCTCCTTAAACAACCCTTAGACCACACCCCCTTTTCTATGACAATCAGGTTTAGGTATCTTCGTTCCTAACTATTTTAAGGAGGTGTCATAGACTCATAGAGTATGCCAAGCATACCAATGCTGATAACTTCAACTACATTGCTTAGAAGTTCAGGTAACTTTTTTCTGAAATGCTCCATCCATCATTGTAATGATTCTTGTCTTATTTTGGATAGTTTCTTTGTTTGTTTGTTTGTTTTCAGATACTTATAGGTCATTTCTTTACAGACTAAGAAGAATGGAGAGGCCTTGCAGAAGAGGAATGGTCAATAGCAAAGGTGAGTACAAGTTAGTGAACTGTTTTTTGATACTGCATTGACACTGTTCTTGAGTTAAACTGAATCAACACTAAACTGACTCCAGTTGAATAACATCACTGCTGTCTTCAGTAGAACTGCTTATACTGTAGCTGAACTGAACTTATTTCATTATGAATGAACTGAACCAACATTGAACTGACTGGAGCTGATTAATGACACTAGCCTATTTTCTTGCTACAGCTACTTTACAGCAGAATTTGGTTTTGCCTCATTTCAGAGGTTTGCATCACTGATTCTGTTATTTCCTGTTTAAAGGGGTCCTTTTATGCTTTTTTTTAAATTGTTCTAGCTTTAGTTAGTGTGCAATGTTGCTGCAAGATTACAAAAAGAGCTTCATCAAAACAGGAACTAAATAGGGCGTATAGACTGGGAAGAGAGGCGTTGCAATAATGTAAAATATATGAATAATAATGCGTTTTTTGGAACAATCAAGAATGAAAACCTACTCTAGCACACCCCAATAACCTAATAAGGATTTCATAAAAGGGTATAATAGGACCCCTTTAATACTGTAAAGCTGCTTTGAAACTATCTCTATTGTATAAAGCGCTATAAAAATAACAGTGACTTGACTTGTTTTTGACCAACAAAAAGTAATTGAAATCTTTCAGTCTTCAGGTATTTACATGCTAAATGTTGTGGTATTTGACTCAAGTTTGTGCAAAAGCAACATGTAGTAACTATCACATTTGTAATATTCTACAGAAGTGATGGTCGAAAATCACCTCAACTTCTTTCAGGAGCTCCTTCCATCTGCTGACCGTATGGCTTTGCTCTACCAGCTCTCTTACCTGTGTTTGACTAAGTTCCCCAGGTTGCAAATGATTCTCAGAGAGTGTGCTGTTGAAACCCAGCATCTGTTTGCGTCCTCCGATGCTCTTCTGGTGAAGGTAAAGCCAATCTTCTTAAGACAATTCTGTTGCTGAAGTCCAACCAAAGAAGCGGATTAAAACAAGCAGATACAGTATTATCAACAATAGCAATCAAGGATAGATTTGCATTGAATTTAAAGTAGAACATTTGCAGAATTGTATTGTGGATTTCAAGAAGTAGAAATGAAATGCAATGAAATATGTAGTGTAGCTTTTTAATTATATATTTCATTTTTATGTATGAGTTACCCATGCTGCCTCGCACACAACATGTGCAGTATTTTATGAAGAATTACATGATAGTCATAAATAACATCTGAAATGCATGTATTTCATGGACCAAGGTAGAAGAACATTTTATTGGTCAGCTCTAGTTTAGCCCATACTCTTCTGTGTCTGAAGAAATGAACAGGCATTATCAGTCAAAATTAAATATATAATTATGATCAGTTGCAATACTAAATAATTTAACTCTTTGTTTAAGTAACCATTCCAATTCAGATTCCAAATCCTGAAAGGAGTGTCAGTCGATGGTTTTATCAGTGATGTAAAAAAAAATATTGTCAAATGCAAAATAAAAAGGTGTATGGTGAAGCAGGGCTTTTTTTTTTTTTTTTTTGTAAGTTTAGGATATAGGAAAAATACTGTTTGGAATTTTGACATAATTTCTCTCATTTTCAGCAGATTCTGTTAGTTATAGCAACAGCAGAAGAACATGGCTGTTGCATTTAATACATGTTTGATATGCAAAATAAAGTTATTTTCATTCAACTCTGTTGGATTTTCTGTCTTCCATTGGTGATCAAGTTAATGATAGTTATATAATATTTATGATGAAAGGTTAAGGTCAAACTTTATTAAGATCCCTTGCGGGCAATTTGGATGCAGCGAAAAACAGAAGTACAACGGACCCATACAATACATTCCAAAAACATTTATACATAAAAATATTTAAATAAAATACAGTAAATTTCCCAAACAAATTGCTTAAGGACCATTTAACAGCCGAATTGCACAGGGAACAAACGAATATTTGTATCGGTTACTTTTCATCTTTGGTAGTCTATAAAGAGAACCTGAAGGGAGCATAAAGAACTCTGGATACAGAAAATGGTCACTGTCCAGGAGCACAGATTGGGCCCCACTCAAAACATTTCTATTAAACAAGAATACCAAACTTCTTTGTTCTTTACCTATGATCTTCCCACTAAGAGTAACTATTCTATTTATTGCATTTGTATGTTTCACACTGAGATTTCCATACCAGCAGCTAATAGAGAAGGACAATACCGGCTCAATATAAGACTTATAGAACAATTCCATCAATGTCCTATCTATATTGAATGATCTTAATTTTCTTAAACAGTATAAGTGTTGCTGTCCCTTTTTACATAAAGCCTCTGTGTTCACATCAAAACACAATCTGTTATTAATAGTGGTCCCCAGATATTTATAACTGTCCACACATTCTACCTTCTCACCCCTAATAAGGGTAGCCTGGGAAGAATGTGGTTTTGTTCTAAAGTCGATAATCATATCTTTTGTCTTAGACACATTCAATTGCAAACAGGCATCAAATTGTTTGACATGATGCTACACATTATTATTTTATCTGATGCAGTTGACCGTGACATGCAATACATAACTCAATAAATGCTAAAACTCTTTGGTTGTGTTGTGTTGATAAATTGATATTTTGTACATTTTTGGCCGGATTTCCCAAACCACTCACCCGCCATATTTTGACTTCAAAATGGCGAAATTCACCAACAGCTGCCAACGTTGGGAAACTGAGAAAAAAGATACTAAACCGTCAGTAGTGTGTGATTATGTGAATTAATGTGATTAATGAAAAGGCTGAGACAAAAAAAACATCACAAACTACTAAAGAAATAGAGGCTCTGGAGAGGGTGGTGAGTGATCTTCAGATGGAACTAAGGAAAACCTTCGAGGAAATTCGACGAATTGAGGCACAGATTGGACAGAGAAACCCACAGTGGTTTAGTCATGTCAAAGTTGCTTCTAGCAGAATGTTTGGTTTGGGAATCCTGGCTGTCATTGTACCATTTGCCGGAGCCATTGTTAAATCCATTTCCGAACCTAAAACTGGCCCTGTAAGACCTCTGTTCAATCAAAAAGCTCAACTCCTTGCTCAGAGGTCAAACCTGAAAAGCCAGCAGCACAACATCCAAGTCAGGCTGACTGATGTTCAGCTGAAGTTGGTAAACATGAAGACAGGAAAGGGTGAGATTCCTTCACCTAAAAGATCTCAATGGTCAGAAGCGTTAGAGTGATCTCTCATAATTAATGTCTGCTTCATAATATTTCTCAAGGTTCTATACCAGACCTTGTCCATCTGAGTGACGTCCAAAAGTGCCTGTATCAAATCCAGTTGTCATTGTTGTTGTTATTTTTAAGTGGTCTTTGTCTGCTGTAATTATAAGTTAAGATATGAGACTTATAATACATTATAACTATGGGAAATATAATCCATTGTAAGTTAAGTGGATGCATTGTGTTCATTGTGTATTATGAATCATCATGATCTTAAAAGCTATAACATTAAAACTGTTGTTATGATTACTCATGAGATGATTTTTTTTTATAATACATTATGCATTCATTATAATGCCTTAAGAATACTCTTATAATGTATTATAAATACAGGCTTCATAGAAAGTGTTGCCAACTTTTCTTTCTTTCTTTCTTTCTTTCTTTCTTTTTAAAGAGTAATTCACCCCAAAATTAGAATTCATGATTTAATTATTCTAATGCTTGTCCCTTTAATGGTAATGCAGTAATCTAATGAATATAATAAGTCTTGGTATTCAGCTTTTAAATTTTTGTAGGATTTCAAATGTCCATAGACTGCGGTGAGCACTGAGGATAGTGAGGTTAAGCTTAATATCAAGGAAGGGAAGGGACAGGGAAGCTTAATATCATTCATATTAACAGGTTAATAGATGTTTTATCCAGTAATATATAATGAGTTTGCAAAGGGAATTAAAGTGTGTGAGATGTGAATTTAAATTGTATTTATTTACAGAGGTATATTATGTCACACTTCTCTAGTAAGTTTTATCTGTGTGTGAAGATGCTGCAGGCTTTCTTTCTTTCTTTCTTTCTTTCTTTCTTTCTTTTTAAAGAGTAATTCACCCCAACATTAGAATTCATGATTTAATTATTCTAATGCTTGTCCCTTTAATGGTAATGCAGTAATCTAATGAATATAATAAGTCTTGGTATTCAGCTTTTAAATTTTTGTAGGATTTCAAATGTCCATAGACTGCGGTGAGCACTGAGGATAGTGAGGTTAAGCTTAATATCAAGGAAGGGAAGGGACAGGGAAGCTTAATATCATTCATATTAACAGGTTAATAGATGTTTTATCCAGTAATATATAATGAGTTTGCAAAGGGAATTAAAGTGTGTGAGATGTGAATTTAAATTGTATTTATTTACAGAGGTATATTATGTCACACTTCTCTAGTAAGTTTTATCTGTGTGTGAAGATGCTGCAGGCAGTGTCGTTGGTGTAAAGCAAATCCCTGAATGAATGTTC